TCATATTTTTTTATAGTAAAAAATCTTAAAATTCATCAAAAATATAACTGATTTACAGAGACCATGCTTCTTGTATCAAGCTTCCCATCACATAACAAAAATATTTGATTAAATCTATTATCCAACCACTTCATGTGTAAGTATCTTAGATTCTATAACACCATCACGTGCTAGCATGGAATTTCTTGTAATCATGCCGAACACCATAAAAATAGCTGCGAGCGCAGCTGCGCCCCAACAACAAGAAATTGCCACGATTGGCCCATCAGGTCCCAATGATAATTTTATTTTTTAATCTGTGTATTTTGAAATTATTGGGCATGAGGGGTTGTTTGGTGATGTGGACGCGTTAAAAATTGTGAATGATTGGATTAGATCGGGTGTCTGGTCAGCAAGGAACAGGACGACACGCGTGGCTGTATTCAGATGGGGGCGTGTGTCCACGTGTCTATGAGAAGGAAGACCCAAGCAAGAAGCAGATGCTTGAACACGTGAGCTCTGGACCTCCTTCCTCGTTTATCCTCATCTACTCACGTGATTTCACTTGCATCCTCGTCCCCACTCATCTTTGGGTTCTACCTGCAGCCATAATCACCTTATAAATTCTAAAATAGAAACAATGGAGCTACCGCTACTAAATTATTAATGTTCGTGCTAAAGTAAACAATTTGTTTTATCACAATAATCAGACTATTATCGTGTTATTGTGAATATTAAATTCGAGTTTCTTTTTTATATAAAAAAATTAATTAATAGCAAAATTATGACCATCATGAATATTTAAATTTATTCCAATCTATTAGAGAAAAAATATTTTCCCACTTCAAACTCAATTGATGTGATCGAAAGGGGGAAACATGAAGGTGTGAACATTTATTATTTAAAGGGAATCTTTAAATTCGTTCCAAACTGCGAATATTTGTACGTATTGACTTGTTAAAAAATCTCTAAAATCAAATGGTGTCGCATTCACACTAACACTTATTTTGAAGTCATCACTTCAAGTATTTTAAAAAAATAAAATTTTTATATTTTTATATTTATTTTAAATTAATATATTTATTTTAAAAAAATATTAATATATATTTTAAACTAATGTTTTAAAATTATTTTAATATATTATTATTATTTTTAAAAAAATTATTAATATATATTTTAATACAAAAAATTATTTTAAAAAAACTATAATTATATTCTCAAACAAGTTATCATGATTGCATTCTGAGATGTGGGTTCAAATATGATACACGGGAAGAGTTACAAACAAGTTATCATGATTGCATTCTAAGATATGGGTTCAAATATGATACACGGGAAGAGTTTATTAAAAAAATAAAAATAAAAACCCGAAGTTTTCCATGCCTTCAGTGCTAAAATTAATTAAACAATGGAGTAATTAAAATGCAATGACTTTTGACTTCAAAATAAGCACCCAGACACGATAATGACATAACAAACTTTTTATATAATTTTTTTATACAAATATATATGTTAAATTTTTTTTTTATAGAATCAATATTTTGTCACTTATCAGTTTATACATCAATCTATATATATAAAGATTTAATAAGAGAATTTTGTTCATAATCTATTTTCTGCTAATTAATTAACAAGCATGAAAAATTAACCAAATGTTGGCTGAAAAGTTGGACCTAGTAGAGTCTCGAATGCTAGACAACCCTAATTTGATAAGTCTGTTTCATCACAAAAATTAAACCTAAATGATGTTGTTTACTGGCAGGAGAACAACTTGGACAAGGAGCATTTGATTCATGAGCAGGCGTGGCTGGTTTTTTTTTTTAAAAAAAAGAAGAACAAAAAGAAGATGAAGCACCAGCTGGAGAGCTAAAGAGAAAGAGAGTGTATCGAAGAAAAAACCCTAAATTCTCTATTTATATATATTTGGTATTGGTATGAACATGAATTTTTTAAATTTTAAAATTATTATATAATTTCAGTAAAATTAGTTAAGATAATTTTTATATCGTGTCAAAACTTTATTTTTAGACTTTAAATATTATCCAAGTTTGAATAATAAAGAAATTTTTATCCACTCAAAATAAATTTAAATTGATATGTATTAAATTTAGATAAAATTATTATTATTATTATTATTATTAAATTTAGATAGTAATATTATTTTTATTATCAAAATAAACCCTAAATTGATTTTTCTATCTAAAAGTGACACCAGGCACGAGAAGCTAGCGAGGAGCGTGTACTGTAAGCGCCTTAAGGGGAGCGTCTGTGGACCAAAGGAAGTTCAGACTTTAGAGCATGAATCAGGAGAGGATAGAGAGCATCCAATGATTGGAGGGAAAGTTCGTGCCTGGATGTGAAGAGACAGAATTATACGCACGAGTTTCAACATCGACCACGTGTTGCACTTGGACACACAACGCATGCTTTTGGACGTGAATCATGCAGGGCCCCACGGGACTCCACTCCACTTGTCCCTCCATTTGTATCCACACTCTCTTTCTCGCCCACTCGGCTCAGGCCAGAGCTTATATACAATTTAAAATCCAGCTTTTACTTTACTTTATGATATGTAAAATATAAAACATGTGGTCGAAGAAACGATGCTTTATTCACTTGAGAAAAACCTGACCAAACCAAACAAAATAAAATTTTGCGTTCGGTGTGCTACCATTCACTTCAACCTTATGGCATGTAGAGAGAGAGAGAGAGAGAGAGGG